TGTGGCCTGGTGTGGGCAAACTCACAGAAACAGAGGCCTGATGGGCAGAGGGTACAGGAAAGGCCAAGTCAGAATCTGAACTGGGAAGTGGATTAAGGACGATGCAAAGGGGAAACATCACTGAACAATGAGCACAAGCCAGGCTGGTGCTGAGAAAGGCAGTCGCCAGCCGGACAAACCCCCTTGTATTCACCTGTTGTCAGGTGCTCCCCGGTGGGGCTGGACCTGGCTGACTAATGATGCTGTGCTCAAAAGACAGGGCGCAGTGACTCTCGGCAGGTCTCCCAGATGGCTTGAGCCAGCCAGTCATCTGAGCTTAATACTCTTCATGTTATCTCCCAGTGTCTATCTCTGCTTGGAAACTTCTAGTGATGGGCAGCTTGCTGCCTCACAAGGCAGTTTCATGTTAATTAGTGGGCTACAGAAACAATCTCAAAAGGATGACGACTCTTTTTGAGCCTTGGTTTCCTATTCCGTAAAATGGGAGGCTTGGATTGGATCACTAATTTTCCAATTGGTTTCCAGAGTTCTAGAATTTTACAGAAATATCTCTGGAGCTGATGCTGGGACAAGAGAGGCAGCAGGGTATTTGGCTCTGAGGGTCTATGATGAACTAAGCCTCCTTCTTGGAGTCAGAATATATTCTTTCAGGAAACATAAAGGAAGAGTCTGTGGGAAGGGAAAATTGAGGCAGAATGAGAGGCGCCCCTGGGAAAAACAGGCATACTTCTCTTCTTCTCTATTCCAACCACAGTTCATTGTTCACAAAAAAATCTCTGGCAAAAGCTCCCCATGCAACTGCAGCATGAAGCAGAGGGATGCAGAGGACAGAACTTGCTCACTGATCCAGCCCAAACTGGTTGTGTATGAGGAACCCACAGGGCACTGGAGCTAGACAGGCTCTGGGGAGACCGCTCTGTGTAGCAGTTAATACCAGGCCTTGGAAGTTATCCTCACAACTGACTTATTAGCTGGCCCACCTTGGATGGCTTACTAAACCTCTCTGTGCTCAGATTCCTCATGGGGAAAACGGAGGACAGAGAGTCCCCAACTGACGATGTATTTGAGTTATGATGAACTGCACTTATGACCAACTGACCATACTTTGTTTGTTTGGGACTTTCATAAAGTGCGTATGTATAACTGGAGAAGTATGAAGCACCAGTGTTGAAGCTGTAAGTTTTTGTGTGGTGTTTCAAACCCCCAAAGACACATAATGATTGAATTTATAAAGATACTGATAACAACAGGCAATAGTAACAAAAACTGAAAGGGGAAAAAAAGGTTGTCTGACATGTCAGAACAGACTGTGATACTACAGTCAGAATGGGAGTCCCGTTGTAAGTTGAGGGTAACTTGTATACACCCTTTAAAATGGGTGATTTTTGAGGGTCCTATAAGGAGCTCTGGAAGCGTAGTGGTTATGAATCGGGCTGCGAACCTTAAGGTCAGCGGTTCGAAACTACCAGCCGCTCTGCGGGAGAAAGATGAGGCTTTCTACTCCCGTAAAGATTTACACCCTTGGAAACCCTGTACAGGGTCACTATGGGTCGGAACCGACTTGACAGCACTTAACAACAACAACAACGTAAGAATTCATGGAGTCCTGATGTAGTGCTGTAGGATAAGCACTTGACCGCAAGTTGGTTTGAACCACAGGTCGGCAGTTCAAATTCATCAGCTGTTCCTCAGAAACTGTACACAGGGTCGCTATGGGTCAGAACCGTGCCTCACCAGCACTCAACAACAACCACCTGAGAATTCACACTGCTGTGGTAAGTAAGTGCTGGAGGACTCCACAGCTGCAGTCACTCTTGATGTTGCTACTGACTCTGATTCCAAAAACGGGTAAACAGAGGACTGGAACGAGCTACCCCAGATCTAAAGGCCAGTTAACAGCAGAAAGCAGCCAAAGTACAACTGCCTGCCTACTCTAAGGCCACTGCTTCACAGGGAGAAACTGAGGCCCATAGGTCACCCACGTGGCAAATGGCCAGCCCAGGTCTGCTAGACTGTAGCTGGCACTCCTTCCACCCAAGTGCACTGACTGCTCAGGGTCATGCTTCTTGTGCCAAAGAACACCTCCTGCCACTCCAGTCATGCCCCTTCACCCCCTGCCCCATGGCCTCTCGTCCCCCACACTCTTCCTCCTCACCCCAGTGTTCTGCCTGCAACATTATACAATCACGGCTCACCCTAGACCACCCACAATCAATCACGGCGGGGATGGGACACAAAGAATTCTGACATGAAGGAGAGCTGTAGCCAGGAAACATCTCATTCAACCACCCACAAATGAGTCCTGGAGGTGCAGTGTGTAAGCACTGAGCAGTCAGCCAAAAAGTCAGTGGTTCAAAGCCATCAGAACCTCTGAGGGAGACAAATCTGGTAGGTCATCTGCTTCCATACAGATTCACAGCTTTGGAAGCCCTATGGGGAGCTCTGCTCTGTCCTGTAGAGTTGGAACAGACTCAGCAGCAATGGGTCTGTGTTGGTTATCCTTGAGTAAGTTTGGGCACAGCTCCCATAAGAAGAAAACCAAAGACAGCAAATACATGGGTGCTTCTTTGGTGACAGAATGCCATTGGTTGTAACAGGTGATTAACTCAAACTGCCCTGCTTTGGACATGGACCCTATAAAGTATGTCCTGTAAAAAGGTCAAAATCCCTCAGGGCAAGTGGACCCAACAAAAAAACCCACTCAACTCTGGGTCCATGGTAGCACTTCAGTGAGACTTTCCAAAGATTCCAGGAATCTATCAGCAGACCCTCCGTGGGGTCCTGCTGATACCTCCCTGTCCCCCTAAATGATCATCCTGTCTGCAGCTCAGAAACATTTCAGCAGGAACTCCATCTAGCCCTCTGCATTGATGCTGTGCAGACTCCAGACCTTCTTCCTGTGTATCTGCTCAGCTTCCTTCACCTGTACAACGGACTCTGTGAAGCTTAATGGGCACTCACGTTCAAGTGCCCAGCACAAGCCTCCAGTCTGGGCTCCTGCTGTTCCTGTATCCCAGATACCCTTACATCAAACACAGGATCTTTAAAACCCAAACGCTTCCCTGATGAGTACAGGCCACTCTGGGCATCCTGTCACCAATTCCTTGGGCAAGTCCCTCCTCTTCCCTTGGTTTCCTCATCTGTAAGATCGCTTGCTGCCCTGACAATCTGAATGTACCAAAATGTCCTAGGAATATTCCTGTACCTGCCCTTTTTCTATGCCCCGGGTTAACATGTGCTGAATGCCTGACTAGCCTGGAGCTGCAGGTAGGTGTGGAGAGGTAGGCTTGGGCCTAGCACAGCACTCAATCCAGCCCCAAGGGCAGAGGATGAGAGGAGGGGGCAGGAATTGGGGGAGACTGTAGTGCCTGAGAGCTCATCTGTGGGAAAGAGCCCGCACAGCAGACATATTCCTGGTGCAGAGCAGGCTGGTCCTGTCTAGCACCCCAGCTCCAAGCAATGGCCAACTCTCTGCCTCCTGCTGCCCACAAGGCTGAGGAAGCTAAAAGTGAGCACCCGGGGCAGCCCTCCAGAAATCTGGCCTCAGCCGCTCTGGGCAAACACTCTCTGCTCTTGGCCCTTTACAAAGTGGCCACCAAACTGCTTTCCAGGAACAGTAGTAGGTACACCACGAAGGCACTCGTCTAGAGGCAGAACCTAGATTTCCACCTAGATGCTTAAAAAAACAAAAACAAAAACCTACCACCACCAAGGGGCTATGGAAAGAGATACTTGCAACCTGAAAGGTTTTAGAATAACAGGCAGCTCTAAACCCCTTTCTGGCACTTTTGGGCATCCTGTAGTGTGGTGTGCCTTTGCTCAGGTCTCTGGCCTGTGTGGGGTCAGAGGGTGACAACCAATACTCTGCTGTCCCTAGACTGTCCTCCCAAGCCAGGAGCACCCATGTTCTCCCGCACCCTGCCACATCCTGGGTCTGCCCAAGAACAGCACTGCCAGGTAACTACTCACTCTCTACAAATGCCTGAAAAATGATCCTGGAGTAGACAGGGCCCAGGAAGCTGCATGTCTCCTGAGCCTGCACATTGTTTTGACAGGGTTTGATCATCAAGGCCAAGAGGAAAACTAACACAAGGTAACAGTCTGTGTATTTCCTGTACACCTGCACATTTCTGTACGCTTCTTTCAACTCTCAAATACGTCTGGGGACTTGGCCAGAAATAGTTTTGTACTCACTAATAATCTGGTCTAAGGAGCTCTGGTAGCATAGTGGTTACAAATCGGGCTGCTAACCTCAAGGTTGGCAGTTCAAAACTACCAGCGGTTCCACTGGAGAAAGATGAGGCATTCTGCTCCCATAAAGATTTACAGCCTGGGAAACCCTGTGTAGGGTCACTATGAGTCAGAACCGACTCCACGGTACACAACATCAACAATAATCTGGTCTGCTCTCTTCTACAGCCAATGAAAGCCAAGTGACCCAGCCTGCTTCCCTTTTTGCCCTGGCTACTAGGAAGCTCTGGTAGCATAATGGTTACGAATCAGGCTGCGAACCGCAAGGTCAACAGTTCGAAATTACACTACCAGCTGCTCCGCGGGAGAAAGATGAGGCTTTCTGCTCCCGTAAAGATTTACAGCCTCGGAAACCCTGTTCAGGGTCGCTATGGGTCGGAACTGACTCGACGGCACTTAACAACAACAACTAGGAAGCTCCAAACTAAGTTTTATGTCTCAAATGCTGTATCTTTTTTCAGCCAGGCAGTCTTGATACAATGTTTCCCTCTTCTCCCCATTGACTTCTTTGCCTCTATTTGGTACCTTTGTGTCTAGACATTCACTGTGCCTTTTGGGTTTCTTCCCATGCAGGTGAGACATGAACAGATAGATAAACGGTGATGAAGATTTAATACCACACTTGTACCCAGCCATCACTTTGACAGCACACACCTCTCGCCATTACTATGGGCTGGCTAGGCTTGCACCTCACTCCCTCTGTGCCTCCCTGTTGAGTACCAATTCTCTGTGCCAAGGACTCCACTTACCTGTCATGATCCTCTGGGCTTCGTAGGGCTCCATGTAGCCAGCACTCTCTCCCTTTCCTGCTTTATTCTTGAGATCATTCTTGGCATCAAAGGGATCTGAGTAGTCATCAGCGATCGTCACCTGAAGGGAGGAGGATGGGGTGTTAGCTCATCTTGGTTTGTCTGTTTCACTTCTGTTCACAGCCATGCTGAACACCAACAGGAGCTAGGTGAGCATGTGATTGGGGTGGAGTGGGGCCACTGCAGGGGCAGACAGTATCATGGACCCACATAAGGGCATGTGGGTAGAGGTAACAACTATCTCTGGAGCACAGAGGCAAGAGCGTGGGGTTGTGTTCTGGGAATGTGACTGACTCAGCTTAATGGAATGGAAATCAGGATGAAGTTGGAAACAAGTGCACAGAAAGCCTGGAAGGAAATGCTGACATGCTCCGGTGCTGGCTGAGGCACAAAAGAGCTCGTCTTGAGATAATTGTGCTCAGCTTTCCATTTCCCCCAGATCTGGAACACAACCACGCCTTGGGTAATCAGGCAACAATTTGGTGAGATCAATGCCCCATAATGAGGACTGTGGCCTCAGCCAGGGCTCATGAAAACACAAAAGCAGCTCAGCATGGACAGGGGACTGCCAGACCAGAAAGAACCTTGGAAGCAACACATCTGAAGACTCTTCTACAACACAAGAGGAAACTAAGGCCCTGAGGGGGTGGGGGCAGAGGCAGAATCCAGACTGTCAGCCAGAACCCATCCCCCTGGAGAGAATTCCCATACAATAAAGAGAAACTTGGGGAGGTGAGTCTGAAGAAAACCTGAGAATCTGGGTTCTAGGATACTGGAGACAAAGTTCTACATTTTTTCCTTGAGAAGAGAAGTTCTTCTCAGTTGGAGGCTAAAGTAAATGTAAAATTTCTTCCATTTCTTGCTTCCTAGGGGTCCTGGTGTGGCGCCGTAGCATAAGCACTGGACTGCTAACCAAAAGGTCAGCGGTTCAACCCCACCAGTCACTCTTCAGAAACTCTATTCGAGGTTGCTTTGAGTGGGAACCAACTCGACAGCACTTAACAATAACAACAGCCTTTATTAGAAGTCCCTGCACCATCAAATGACTAATGCAGCTGGCTGATTAACCTAAAGATTGGAGGTCCGGGTCTAACCACAGACAACTCAGAAGAAAGCTCTGGAAAGTTAATTCCAGAAAAATAGTCATGAAGAACACTTAGGATTATAGTTCTACACATACGACTGTCACCACGAATCAGAGTTGGTGGCAACTTTTATTGGGATGCATTTACCAGAGGGGGAAAGACATGAACCTACCAACCCCATTCCCCATAATGTACCCTAGACTCCATCACAAACATCCTGTGTGATCTCCTTTAAGTTATTTGCCCTCTCTGATCACATAACTAGCCTCCCATCTGTCTCTCTGGAAGGAGGTAGGTTAGCATTTCTTTCAACCCTGCAGGTTACTTGAGTTGTTATTTAAATAGTAGGTTTAATTAGAAACCACAGGAGTCTCCTTCCCTGCTTTGTTCTTGAGGTCATTCTTGGCATCAAAGGAATCCCAAGAAGTCCTGGGCTCCAGGAATGTAAGGCACTGAGGGGCCAGTCCACCCCAGGGACGGGAAACCCTCCTTTGTCTGCCTGGTAATAGAAACTTGCGGCAGCAGCCCTGGCAGAGTGCACACATGACCTCGGCGACAGCCTGCCTCCAGCTGCCAGAACGTGATGCCCGCAGAGGGACAGCAGGCTGCCCGCAACTCAGCCACTGACACGTGGCCAGGGGCCAAGAGAGGCCTGGCACACAGTGGTCACTGCTCCCAAACTAGAGCAGACTTATCAGTGAAGACCATGCCTCAACACTCACCACGTGAACCAATGAAGCCTCGGCTGAGGGACAGGCTCCAAGTCCCAACGGAGGCAGCTTCCAGATGCTGACATTGTAATCCTGGCCTTTCTTGAGACTTGCTCAGCTCAAATGACACCAGGCGGAGGGAAGAAGAGGGTGGGGGAAGCTGGGCCTGGCACTGTCTTTCATTTGATATTTCTACTCTACCATTTGCAGAACACATTAGGGAGAAAATTATACATGTGAACCACTGTCAAACAGTACAGCTCTGCCACCGCTGATCTAATGGAAGGTCTGGGGCTTAGGGGCTTCGAGTTCAGGGAGCCAGAAGTCAGAACGGGGAAAATGATGAACCTGCTGTTGATGGCATGTAATCTGCTTGTCCCAGCCTTCATCTCTGTCTCTTTTCAACATGAACACCTTCAATCTATTCTGTGACAAGGAAAGGAACAAATATTTTCCCAAGAAAAAATAGTCATTTTCAGGAATTAGCTGGGGAGAGCAGAGTACGAGAGAGGAGCCAGGCTATAGTCTCCCTAATCAAGGTACCAGCCCCTCTCTGATGCACTCTGTAGTTTGCAAACATGGAGGCCTGCAGGATATAAACCAAATCTTTGTTCACCCTGGGACGGTAGCTCAGGGAGGCCTGCGATTTAGCAGGCACTATCTATATTTTCTAATTAAAATGAGATCTGAGGCCTGGCTGTCATGGGGGCCCCCAGCTGCAGTCCCTGCTTACTTCCGTTTCAATAAGAATTTACAAATCCTAAAACCAGGGAAAGCCCTTGGTCTCTGCTGACATATGGTTCCAGTTATACCTGCTGACAGTGGAAAATCCTTCCGTTTAAAAAAAAAAGTTTCGAATTCTGTTCATTTAAGGAGAAATAAGAAGGTTCCTAAAATGTATATTTAATCAATTTGATTTTGAACTTCAAAGTGAGGTGGGTGGAGGGGGACCGAATGGGAAGTTTAAACAACCTGAAACTCAGCAAACACTACACCCAACTGTCTGGGAGTAAAAATTTAACCAGGCTGTAGGTGCGCCAAGTGGATAGTCAGCCAGATGTCACAGGCACCAACCTCAGGACTGCTGTCAGGATGGTCGGTCGGTCAGAAAGTTCCTGAAGGTGGCTGCTCTTCAGCGTTAAAAGAAAGGGAATGTATTTCCCCAGTGTGTGTATGAACCCTGCTGGGATCATTTCTGTTATGCTTTAAAATGCACCAGTTAGGGGACAAGACCCTGAAATCTAACTGTACAATTCTACCAAAAGGGAGTTGGCCTGGACTTGTCTGCAGGTCAGACCACCCGGGCTGGCAACAAGCTTTTCTTTGAATTTATCTTAGATTTGCTGGGACGAGACAGTCCATCCGGCTCCTCACAAGGCTTGTTCACCGTCACACAGGGCATGTCTGGAGCAGTAGCAAAAACATGCGGGTTATGAGAGGGTGGCCCCCTAGCCAGAGGGTCCCATCTTTTACATTCACAGCTCCTGGGCTAGGCCCCCTTGGCCTATCTCTGGAAAAGGGGCAGGGTTGTGGCAAAACTCCAGGTGAGACCTTTTCTTGTTTTTTTTTTTTTTTTAATCCAACAAAACTAGAGATCCCAGGTCAACCCAAAGCCCCAACAGACTTTCACAAGTTCACTGAGCAAAGCTGGGGGTCCTTGGGAGACCATTTCAACCCACCTTGTCTCATACACGGGTCACCATAGGTCTAGGGCTTCGTCCGCAGGTGCCCAGCTATCAGCAACTGGGCTTCTGAGGTCACTTCTCACCCTCTAGCTCCTAAGCTGGAGTTCTAGAGTTCCACTGTACTGACCGGTCTGACAGAGGCTCTTGGAGCTAGTGGCAGACACAGTTGGTGATCCATGCCTCCCTTCTGTTCACATATACTGGCAGAGGGAATCAGTCCTTTCCTGCAGTCTGAGGTCCAGGTGCTTTTCACTTGTGGCACTGCAGGATCAGTACTAGACTGTGAACCATGAGGTCGGCAGTTAAAACCCACCAGTTGCTCCTCGGAAATCCTATACAGGGTCGCTATGAGTCTGAACTGATTTGATGGCACTTAATAACAACACTAACAATTCACTTCCAAAGGAAATGCTAGAGGAATGATGGGTGTCCACTCAGCCACACTTGCGTATGAACAGTGAGCATTTTAGTTACTCAGTGTGGATGAATGGCTCCTCTCTTACGATCTTGGGGGAAATGTAAACTGGTAGAGTGCCACTGTGGATGGTAACTTTGGGGTGAATCCATTAAAATCTAAAAATACACATAATTTACTTTGGACATGTTATCAGGAGGGACCAATCCCTGGAGAAGGACATCATGCTTGGCAGAGGGTCAGCAAGATGGACTGATACCATGGCTGCAACAATGACCTCACACAGCAGCAAGTGTGAGGATGACACGAGACCAGGCTACGTTTCATTTCATTCTGCCGTACTCAGGGTCACTCACTATGAGTCAGAACTGACTTGGCAAAACAACAACAATAATTTTACTTCATAGCAAATGTGTATTAAGAAGACATGGCCAAGGATGCTCACTGAAGCAAGAAATAAGGAAATGCTGCAAGCAACTGCTGTATCCAACAATAGAGGACTTGCCAAATAAACGATACCACTTCCATACTATAGAAGAGTATGCAGCAGATTTACAAAATACAAACAAAACAGTTGCTCTAAATATGCTCACATTGTTCTCCATGACGAAAGCAACATGCTACCCATTTACAAAACACAAAAAACAGATACCCATGTCAATAAAGAAAAGGTCTGAGAATACAGCTACCCCAAACTGACACCTTCTCTGGGGTGAGGGATAGGGACTGGGGTGGTGTAGGGAATCAAAGGAGACCTGTCTGTAATGTTAAAATTTCTTAAAACAAGGAAAGCCCATGCACATATTATACGTAAAAGCTAATCTTATTATAAAAACATTTCTCTTCCACAGACTATTTTTTGGCACAGTAGAAAGACTATTTTTCAAACTTGCCTAAAGATAAGATGACCTGGAACACTTATTTTAAAAACCAGATTCCTAGACTCAGTAATCTGTATATTTAACAAGCAACCCAGGTGATTCTTATCAGGAGAGTTTGGGAAACATTACACTAGAGACACTCATCTGGCCCCAGAAAGTCTAAATGTAGTCTCCAGATTCTACTCTGGAATTTCACTTTCCCCAGAAATTTCCTGGCCCTGTTCAGTAAAGTGAAGCAAGATGCTCATGCTATCGGCAGTTCCTTGCTTCCTTCCCTGGGGGTCA